CGCATCGTCCCACGCCCGGGAGGAGCACTCTGAGATGATCTGCTGCCTGGGACATCACGGGCTCTCAAGCTGTTTTGTCTTGGAACTGGATCCCGGCAAGCTGTGGCTCGCGCTGAGAGACTGCATCACCACCAAGGGCGAGTTCTGCCTCCGGTTCGAATTGAACTCCCAGCTGTGGCATGTGCCTTCCCACCACTGTGAATTGCACAAGCAGTGCAAACATGAAGGACCTGCCTCGCCGTGTGCAAAGTAGCAACCTGGCACCAAACTCCAATGGACCTCTGACAGCTTTCGAGTTGACCGAGGTCGTGGCTGTTCCCCCATCTACAAAAGCCCGAAATGGCAAAGAAGCGGCACAACTTCACCTCCGCGACACATGCATTCCTGTTGAGCCGTACTAAGCGTCAGGAAGCATAGAAGATGCTGGGGATGGCCTTGCGCCTCGGCACGCTGCCTGGAAATGCCGACATGGGACAAAAGCCTCGGACTGAAGAACTCAAAAAATCTGCGCCTTGGACGCGTCTTGCATCCTGCAGAATCGCAGTCCAAAGTTCTCACGGAAACAGAAGACTTGAACAAGACTTTCAAGCAGATGCGCGACTCTGCCGATCTCGTTGTCAGGCCCAGGTGGCCTTCGGCATCCGGAACTGCGTGCCACTTTCCCAGCGCCTGCTGGAGGCTTCAGCACGAGGATCGCTTCTGAGCTTCTGATCCTCTGCCACCTCCAGGAAGCCTGATTTCTGGGCCTCGGACTGCGTGCGCGTGTTGTACACATACCTCGGGACGTGAAGCTTTCAGCGACTGACAGGATGTCTCGACATCTTTCTCAGGTCCGGAAAGAGCTCTCTGTGTTTACCGGGTTGCATAGTTGCCTTCACCTTCGCCTTGACCGGAAAATCATGCTATGAAGGGAATTCAACTGTGCACGAGTGGCAGGCGAACTGCATCGGCGCAAATCAAATCGCTTTCAATATCGGCAATGCGTGTGACTGGAACTAAAGGCTAGCTTGACGATGACTGCTACCACAAGCTCGGGGACGTCTCCGCTGAAAGCCCGCTGGCTTCTCCCTGACCCCGCTTGCATGTCGTTGGCCGAGGCCCCCGGCTGTGAGGAAGTCGTTCCCGGTGCCGGAGCTGCAGCCTCGACACGGCCACCCGGAGAGCTGCTGGAAGGGAGCAGAGGATCGGAAGACAGAAACTCACACAGAGACACACACAGAGACACACAGACACAGCGCTGTTCGTTAAGTAGTCACGGGCTCTCAGACCGTGGCTTCAGGTCTAGGCCCGGCCACAGCCAGCTGCGTGCAGCTCAATCCATCTTCACTCAGCATGCCCCCGAGCATTCCTGACGATCCTCAGCTCAAGCTCCCCGGACTTGGGACCCCAAACACATGCCGAGGCCGACGCCCACCGTCGCCCGAGCCCGAGCCGACCTCCGAAGCATCGAAAGTGCTCGTGAAAACCGGTGCACAAAATCCTCGCAAACTCTGCCTTGGCCTCGGCTCGGCCTTTCGAAGATCCGCTTCGAACTCGAAGTCGAAGCCCTCCTCCTCGGATCCCTCGGCCTCGCTGCAGAACTGAGCCTACTCTGAGCCCCCGAGAGGCCTGTGACATCCTGGGACACCGGGCTGACCGGGCTTGGGCTTGGGGCTCCTCCTCACCTGCAACCCGTCACAATCGGAGCTTCCGTAATGGAGAGCAGAGCATGCTGCCGAGCTGCCTGGCGGCTCCATCGCCTGCCGCCAACATCAGATAAAACTTCCAAACATCCGTGTTTGGAAGAACAAGAGCAAAACACGAGCACTGGTCGAAGACACCCAGTCACCTCCACAAACGACTTTCCCTGAACCGACTTGCTCCATGAGCATCGAAGTTCCTGGATTACTGAAGGGCTTGTGGTGCTCGTTGAGCAGCATCAAGCGTTGCTCGTGTACCCTTGCGGTTGGCCTTTGGTGACCTTGGTGGCCCTGTTACACATGCTTCGCGCACCTGGATCCGCTGTCTCTTCAACGGCCCTTCCACAGCATCGGTCGAATCATCACCAACCTAAGTCCGATGGTCAAGCGCTTCTTTGTCCTTCGTTAGAAGATCTCATGCCGGCCTCGAGGCAATCAGGTTCATGAAGCCAATCTGCTTTGAGACCTGCCAGCAACACACGCTGGCAAGAAACCTCACAGCGGCTTATCGCCAGACCGGACGGCCTGCTTCGATTTCTGACTGCGGCGGGTCGTCCTCCTCGACATCCAGGAAGTCCTCTGCTCCGGCACCTAACGCACCCAGAGTGTGGCTCCCAAGCCCTCAGCACTTGTCTGCATGCTTGCTGTGCCCGGACACCACTGGATCATGTGAGCAAGAACTGAAACACATCGAGCAGTAGGACTCCGTGTTTCAACTAGCTGTTCTAGCCCACATCGCATCCTCTGCAAGTGCGGCACGCAGAAGCCTGGGCGGGGAGGTGGACAGCATTCTTACATGCGCTTCTTTGGCTGTCGATCAGTGCGCTCAGGCATCAACTCCAGCAAAGCCTGCGCCCCGGACTGCGGCTTCTGGCCTTCGCTGATGCCAGGACAGGTGCCCGACTACTTGGGTTCGTGCTGGGATCCCAGCTGGTCTTCTCCTTGGGGCGCAGACTTGTACACGAGAGAAATCATAAGTGCTGCCCCGTGTGCTTTGAGGAGCCGTCCACCTTGGCCGGCTTTCTCCACGGAGGGGTCCTGTAACAGCAGCTTGACCCCCTCATCAACACCCTTGAAGCCACTCCGGACACAACCGGCAAAGTGTGGGGATCATTGCTGCCAGGAACGCAGTGTGCTCGAGCAGTGAAGCTTAGTCCCTGAGGACCAGGCGGGGGAGCTGGTTTCACGTCGACTGGCTCTGGCTGCAGCTGCAGATCATCTGTTGCACAACACGCGAATCGAAATCACAACGCCAGTAATACCATCATGCGTCTGCATGAAGGGTTGGCACCCAGCTGCAACTTCTGGGATCGAGGCTATACAAATCGAAGCCATCGCCATCCATGACAGGCCGAGATGCTGGAGAAAACTGAAGTCGGCTATGCCAGTGCATGACACACTGGCACGAGGTGAAGGATTTCTCCGGCTTTTGAAGTAGGGTGCAGGCTGTGGGAACCGTGTTGTGGGGCTTTGGCATGCCACTTGGCAAAGTCTCTAAGCAGATGTCCGGGATTTTGTGATGACACAACTAAGACAGAAGCTGCTGCCTACCAACCAGCTACAAGCTTTTCTTTTTGGCATTCCATTGCCATTCACTCGTCCTCGGTCAAGCCCGTAGCAGTATGTCTGTCTGCGTGAGCATGTCGGTCTCTTGGATCCTCTTGGTATACCGGTACGCCGGTACACCATTGCACGCGATGTTGTCAGAAAGTCCAGTGTCGCAGGACGCAGAATTGGCAGGACACGCCCCACTTCCACTTCGGGCCCCTTCTCGCACGCATCGGCACAAATGACGAGCGGCATGCGGAACATGTTGTAGTAGTCATCTAGGAAAGGCTTCCACGGTGGGCTTCAGGGCCTTCCATGCTCTCCACTCGCCATGCAATCGGCCCGCGCTCCGCTTCATGAAGTCCACGAAGCCCAGTGCACTACTTTTCGAAGATCTGAACCGGGCCGACGCCGAAATCGTCGTGAAGGCCCTCCATGGCTCCATCTTGCCCTCGAGCCAGGCACGGTCCTCGGGCGGTGTCAGCCGGTGGCTGTCGTGGCATAAGCAGCAGATCACCTCGGCTCAGCTAGCTTCTTGACAGATGGTACGACGCCAGTGAGTGCATGCCTCCCGCAAAGTCCGATAAGCCAAGTAACCATCCGTCGGAAGGCGACGAATTGAGGTTCTCCCAAACTTTGATAACTTTGTCTGGGATGCCAGCACATCAGGCAACGGCAGGATCACCTGACACAGCAGATTGGGTAGACGAGAAACTCCACTTGCAGTGTCTCAAGCTGATTGAATCGATACCCTTACGTGCGGCCTGCACGCTGCAGCTGGAGATCGAAAGCGGGGATCCAAAGCAGGAAGGGATGCCTCGTGTACAGCAGTATTTTCATGCATCGAGTGGTGGCTCTTCGAATGTCCTCGGAAGTTGCGTCCAGAACCATCGGAATCCGTCACCACCTGTTCTTGAAGATGGCAGTGATAGGCAACGCTGCACGGATGTCGAAGCCAAGATGCAACACAACTGTGCAAGCTAATTTCCCCCTCCCAGCTTGCCTCGGCCTCAAGCCAAGGAAGCCAAGGACCCACCCACAAGGCCTGGGAACTTGGTGAAACAGCAGAAGAGCGTTACCCGTCGTGACCCGTCGCAGCTACGCCACGCCTCGTTCCTTAGCATGATGAAGGCGTTCCTCGTAGACCCTAGCAAAGCGGCATATGCTTTTCCATTCCTGCGACAGCTGTCCAAAGAAACGCAGGAGCTTCAACGGTTTCATGCGCACACATGCTGCATGAAAAGCATCATCTTGCAGCTCCTTGGCTTCAAGCCAGAGCTCGACCTGCGGCTCCTCCTCCTCACGAAGGTACCACATGCCAGGCAGCACACACAAGGCTCAAATCCAGGGGTCCGCTGCCTCGACCCATGGCTCGCTCTCCGGATCGCCTCCGTCGGGTCGCCATTCCTGCGAAGAGCACGACGTTATGACCGCTGTGATTTGGCTGTAGTCAAAGCTTCTGACATCCTCTGACCGTACAACATGCACTCCTCGTCGTCATGGTGCAGCACGCTTGGTCTTTGAGAGCAAAGCATAGCCGCGCTTGGCGGCGCTGTGCCCTGTGACGCCGGCTCAGGGGGCAGGGAGACGGGTGATCCCGGATGCGTGGGGCTGGAGACAAGTGATGTCGGCTGCGTGAGGATGGGCACACTTGCAGTTGACCCGGGCTCTGTGGGAAGGGACACGGATAACGCCAGTCCCCTGTTTGGGAGGGAGAGCTCCGTGGGGGAGGTTGCGGGTGGCCCAGGCTCACTGGGGAGGGAGACGGGCGGCTCCAGTCCGGGGCGGACGAACTCGGGCGGCTGCACCTGCACAAAGTCGATGCATCTGCTGCCAATTACACAATTTGCTCACGTGCTAACACTAAAACCCCAAGCACAACACAATCGCAAGGTAGCATTGCCTGCGCAGCATTGTCATTGAACGCCACGTTGGCCTCAGGACTCTGCATCTTCATATCTATATGGCATTGAAAAAATCTTTACATGCAGCTCAGCGCAGGGCTGGAGCATCTCGGAGACCTTCCTCCAAAGACTGCAGCTCCAGCAACAAGGGATCCTCCCTCGAATCTGCGGGACATCGCTTTTGCACGGCACTCCCACAACAACGAAGCTCCATGCCTCGCGCGGCGCATCTCCCCTTGCGACATGCTTGCAAGGGCAGCCCAAGGCGGCCCACACGTGCAAAGTGCAAGGCTGCATGATTTGGCTGCATGATTTGGGAGGCCTGGAAGTACCAGCGGGCCGCCAAAGCCGCCGCCGTCGCGGACAAAAACAGCACCAGCACGAGCCAGGCCTGATCCCAAAGCACGAAGGTGACATCAAGTTGAGCAAGACCCACCACGGCCTCCTGCCCGGAGGCACGCTCGCTGTGGTGGAGCCCCGTGCGATAGCCCTGCAGACTGGGCCACATCTACATAAGAGAGATGGTTGTGGCGGCTAAGATAATGGATGGCGCAGGCAGCTTAACCCTGATAAATTGCTAAAACTGACGCAAGCTCCTCCACAAGCAGCCGCCACTGGCTACTCCGCAAGCCTCCATCCGGCCTTCAATCTGTTCAACCCAGCAGGCGAGTTTCTTGCCTTGAGTTGAGAGTTGAGAGTTGAGAGCTCAGGCTGGGGCAGGGCAAGCTCTTCGGGGATGGCAAGCGGCATCTTTGGGAATGCTAGGCTTGAGGCTGAACAGTCGCTGAACACATACAGCTGCGTCATAGCTTGGTCATTGCCTTGTGTCGACTTCAGAAAGTAATCTTGCACGCAAGCTGCTCTGCCTCCTCAGCTCCTCTCAAAACATCCTGTCAGAACACCCGTTGAGAGGACACCTTCTCAGCACCTCTCGCGGCCCCCTTTCAGTACCTCTCCTCTCGTTGCTGGAAGCCCTATCGCAGCATCAGATTGCAGGGATCGGTCTTCGGGACAAGTATAGGAAAGCATCTTCAGATGTTGCTCCAAACAAGAGGCATATCGTGATCATATCTCCTCACAGCCATCTCATCAGATCCTCTTGCACGTGGCGTTTTACCAAAGGGTGCGGCGGATGCGGATTCTTTCGCTCCGCAAGTGAAACCATGCTTGTTGGCTGAGGCGCATGCCACTTGGCAAAGTCTCTACGCAGATGTCCGGGATTTTGTGATGACGCAACTAAGAAGGCAGCTGCTGCTTGTAGCTTTTCTTTTTGGCATTCCATTGCCATTCACTCGTCCTCGGTCAAGCCCGTAGCAGTATGTCTGTCTGCGTGAGCATGTCGGTCTCTTGGATCCTCTTGGTATACCGGTACGCCGGTACACCATTGCACGCGATGTTGTCAGAAAGTCCAGTGTCGCAGGACGCAGAATTGGAAGACGCCAGCGTCGCCGTTCGGCTGGCAGGACACGCCCCACTTCCACTTCGGGCCCCTTCTCGCACGCATCGGCACAAATGACGAGCGGCATGCGGAACATGTTGTAGTAGTCATCTAGGAAAGGCTTCCACGGTGTGGGCTTCAGGGCCTTCCATGCTCTCCACTCGCCATGCAATCGGCCCGCGCTCCGCTTCATGAAGTCCACGAAGCCCAGTGCACTACTTTTCGAAGATCTGAACCGGGCCGACGCCGAAATCGTGAAGGCCCTCCATGGCTCCATCTTGCCCTCGAGCCAGGCACGGTCCTCGGGCGGTGTCAGCCGGTGGCTATCGTGGCATAAGCAGTAGATCACCTCGGCTCAGCTAGCTTCTTGACTGATGGTACGACAGACGCCAGTGAGTGCATGCCTCCTGCAAAGTCCGATAAGCCAAGTAACCATCCGTCGGAAGGCGATGAATTGAGGTTCTCGCAAACTTTGATAACTTTGTCTGGGATGCCAGCACATCAGGCAACGGCAGGATCACCTGACACAGCAGATTGGGTGGACGAGAAACTCAACTTGAAGTGTCTCAAGCGGATTGAATCGATACCCTTACGTGCGGCCTGCACGCTGCAGCTGGAGATCGAAAGCGGGGATCCAAAGCAGGAAGGGATGCCGCGTGTACAGCAGTATTTTCATGCATCGAGCGGTGGCTCTTCGAATGTCCTCGGAAGTTGCCTCCAGAACCATCGGAATCCGTCACCACCTCTTCTTGAAGATGGCAGTGATATGCAATGTTGCACGGATGTCGAAGCCAAGATGCAGCACAACATCTGTGCAAAATCTGTGCTTCCCCCTCCCAGCTTGCCTCGGCCTCAAGCCAAGGACCCACCCACAAGGCCTGGGAACTTGGTGGAACAGCAGAAGAGCGTGACCCGTCGCAGCTACGCCACGCCTCGTTCCTTAGCATGATGAAGGCGTTCCTCGTAGCCCCTAGCAAAGCGGCATATGCTTTTCCATTCCTGCGACAGCTGTCCAAAGAAACGCAGGAGCTTCAACGGTTTCATGCGCACACATGCTGCATGAAAAGGATCATCTTGCAGCTCCTTGGCTTCAAGCCAGAGCTCGACCTGCGGCTCCTCCTCCTCACGAAGGTACCACATGCCAGGCAGCACACACAAGGCTCAAATCCAGGGGTCCGCTGCCTCGACCCATGGCTCGCTCTCCGGATCGCCTCCGTCAGGTCGCCATTCCTGCGAAGAGCACGACGTTATGACCGCTGTGATTTGGCTGTAGTCAAAGCTTCTGACATCCTCTGACCGTACAACATGCACTCCTCGTCGTCATGGTGCAGCACGCTTGGTCTTTGAGGGCAAAGCATAGCCGCGCTTGGCGGCGCTGTGCCCTGTGACGCCGGCTCAGGGGGCAGGGAGACGGGTGATCCCGGATGCGTGGGGCTGGACACAAGTGATGTCGGCTGCGTGAGGATGGGCACACTTGCAGTTGACCCCGGCTCTGTGGGAAGGGACACGGATAACGCCAGTCCCCTGTTTGGGAGGGAGAGCTCCGTGGGGGAGGTTGCGGGTGGCCCAAGCTCAGTGGGGAGGGAGACGGGCGGCTCCAGTCCGGGGCGGACGAACTCGGGCGGCTGCACCTGCACAAAATCGATGCATCTGCTGCCAATTACACAATTTGCTCACGTGCTAACACTAAAAACCCAAGCACAACACAATTGCAAGGTAGCATTGCCTGCGCAGCATTGTCATTGAACGCCACGTTGGCCTCAGGACTCTGCATCTTCATATCTATATGGCATTGAAAAATTTTTACATGCAGCTCAGCGCAGGGCTTGAGCACCTTCCTCCAAAGACTGCAGCTCCAGCAACAAGGGATCCTCCCTCGAACCTGCGGGACATCGCTTTTGCACGGCACTCCCACAACAATAACGCTCCATGCCTCGCGCGGCGCATCTCCCCTTGCGAGATGCTTGCAAGGGCAGCCCAAGGCGGCCCACACGTGCAAAGTGCAAGGCTGCGTGATTTGGGAGGCCTGGAAGTACCAGCGGGCCGCCAAAGCCGCCGCCGTCGCGGAGAAAAACAGCACCAGCACGAGCCAGGCCTGATCCCAAAGCACGAAGGTGACATCAAGTTGAGCAAGACCCACCACGGCCTCCTGCCCGGAGGCACGCTCGCTGTGGTGGAGCCCCGCGTGATAGCCCTGCAGACTGGGCCACATCTACATAAGAGAGATGGTTGTGGCGGATAAGAACATGGATGGCGCAGGCAGCTTAACCCTGATAAATTGCTAAAACTGACGCAAGCTCCTCCACAAGCAGCCGCCACTGGCTACTCCGCAAGCCTCCATCCGGCCTTCAATAAGTTCAACCCAGCAGGCGAGTTTCTTGCCTTGAGTTGAGAGTCGAGAGTTGAGAGCTCAGGCTGGGGCAGGGCAAGCTCTTCGGGGATGGCAAGCGGCATCTTTGGGAATGCTAGGCTTGAGGCTGAACAGTGGCTGAACACATACAGCTGCGTCATAGCTTGGTCATTGCCTTGTGTCGACTTCAGAAAGTAATCTTGTGCGCAAGCTGCTCTGCCTCCTCAGCTCTTCTCAAAACATCCTGTCAGAACACCCGTTGAGAGGACACCTTCTCAGCACCTCTCGCGGCCTCCTTTCAGTACCTCTCCTCTCGTTGCTGGAAGCCCTATCGCAGCATCAGATTGGAGGGATCGGTCTTCGGGACAAGGATAGGAAAGCATCTTCAGATGTTGCTCCAAAGAAGAGGCATGTCGTGATCATATCTCGAGATCCAGCTTTTGCACGTGGCGTTTAACCAAAGGGTGCGGCGGATGCGGATTCTTTCGCTCCGCAAGTGAAACCATGCTTGTTGGCTGAGGCGCATGCCACTTGGCAAAGTCTCTACGCAGATGTCCGGGATTTTGTGATGACGCAACTAAGAAGGCAGCTGCTGCTTGTAGCTTTTCTTTTTGGCATTCCATTGCCATTCACTCGTCCTCGGTCAAGCCCGTAGCAGTATATCTGTCTGCGTGAGCATGTCGGTCTCTTGGATCCTCTTGGTATACCGGTACGCCGGTACACCATTGCACGCGATGTTGTCAGAAAGTCCAGTGTCGCAGGACGCAGAATTGGAAGACGCCAGCGTCGCCGTTCGGCTGGCAGGACACGCCCCACTTCCACTTCGGGCCCCTTCTCGCACGCATCGGCACAAATGACGAGCGGCATGCGGAACATGTTGTAGTAGTCATCTAGGAAAGGCTTCCACGGTGGGCTTCAGGGCCTTCCATGCTCTCCACTCGCCATGCAATCGGCCCGCGCTCCGCTTCATGAAGTCCACAAAGCCCAGTGCACTACTTTTCGAAGATCTGAACCGGGCCGACGCCGAAATCGTCGTGAAGGCCCTCCATGGCTCCATCTTGCCCTCGAGCCAGGCACGGTCCTCGGGCGGTGTCAGCCGGTGGCTGTCGTGGCATAAGCAGCAGATCACCTCGGCTCAGCTAGCTTCTTGACTGATGGTACGACAGACGCCAGTGAGTGCATGCCTCCCGCAAAGTCCGCTAAGCCAAGTAACCATCCGTGGGAAGGCGATGAATTGAGGTTCTCACAAACTTTGATAACTTTGTCTGGGATGCCAGCACATCAGGCAACGGCAGGATCACCTGACACAGCAGATTGGGTGGACGAGAAACTCAACTTGAAGTGTCTCAAGCTGATTGAACCGATACCCTTACGTGCGGCCTGCACGCTGCAGCTGGAGATCGAAAGCGGGGATCCAAAGCAGGAAGGGATGCCTCGTGTACAGCAGTATTTTCATGCATCGAGTGGTGGCTCTTCGAATGTCCTCGGAAGTTGCCTCCAGAACCATCGGAATCCGTCACCACCTGTGCTTGAAGATGGCAGGGATAGGCAACGCTGCACGGATGTCGAAGCCAAGATGCAACACAACTGTGCAAAATCTGTGGAAGGTCAGCTAATTTCCCCCTCCCAGCTTGCCTCGGCCTCAAGCCAAGGAAGCCAAGGACCCACCCACAAGGCCTGGGAACTTGGTGGAACAGCAGAAGAGCGTGACCCGTCGTGACCCGTCGCAGCTACGCCACGCCTCGTTCCTTAGCATGATGAAGGCGTTCCTCGTAGACCCTAGCAAAGCGGCATATGCTTTTCCATTCCTGCGACAGCTGTCCAAAGAAACGCAGGAGCTTCAACGGTTTCATGCGCACACATGCTGCATGAAAAGGATCATCTTGCAGCTCCTTGGCTTCAAGCCAGAGCTCGACCTGCGGCTCCTCCTCCTCACGAAGGTACCACATGCCAGGCAGCACACACAAGGCTCAAATCCAGGGGTCCGCTGCCTCGACCCATGGCTCGCTCTCCGGATCGCCTCCGTCAGGTCGCCATTCCTGCGAAGAGCACGACGTTATGACCGCTGTGATTTGGCTGTAGTCAAAGCTTCTGACATCCTCTGACCGTACAACATGCACTCCTCGTCGTCATGGTGCAGCACGCTTGGTCTTTGAGGGCAAAGCATAGCCGCGCTTGGCGGCGCTGTGCCCTGTGACGCCGGCTCAGGGGGCAGGGAGACGGGTGATCCCGGATGCGTGGGGCTGGACACAAGTGACGTCGGCTGCGTGAGGATGGGCACACTTGCAGTTGACCCGGGCTCTGTGGGAAGGGACACGGATAACGCCAGTCCCCTGTTTGGGAGGGAGAGCTCCGTGGGGGAGGTTGCGGGTGGCCCAAGCTCGCTGGGGAGGGAGACGGGCGGCTCCAGTCCGGGGCGGACGAACTCAGGCGGCTGCACCTGCACGAAGTCCGGACTTGCGTCAACCATCTTGATGCATCTGCTGCCAATTTACACAGTTTGCTCACGTGCTAACACTAAATTCACTAAAAACCAAGCACGACACAACTGCAAGGTAGCATTGCCTGCGCAGCATTGTCATTGAACGCCACGTTGGCCTCTGCATCTTCAAATCTATATGGCATTGAAAAAATCTTTACATGCAGCTCAGCGCAGGGCTGGAGCATCTCGGAGACCTTCCTCCAAAGACTGCAGCTCCAGCAACAAGGGATCCTCCCTCGAACCTGCGGGCATTGCTTTTGCACGGCACTCCCACAACAACGAAGTTCCATGCCTCGCGCGGCGCATCTCCCCTTGCGACATGCTTGCAAGGGCAGCCCAAGGCGGCCCACACGTGCAAAGTGCAAGGCTGCATGATTTGGCTGCATGATTTGGGAGGCCTGGAAGTACCAGCGGGCCGCCAAAGCCGCCGCCGTCGCGGACAAAAACAGCACCAGCACGAGCCAGGCCTGATCCCAAAGCACGAAGGTGACATCAAGTTGAGCAAGACCCACCACGGCCTCCTGCCCGGAGGCACGCTCGCTGTGGTGGAGCCCCGCGTGATAGCCCTGCAGACTGGGCCACATCTACATAAGAGAGATGGTTGTGGCGGATAAGAACATGGATGGCGCAGGCAGCTTAACCCTGATAAATTGCTAAAACTGACGCAAGCTCCTCCACAAGCAGCCGCCACTGGCTACTCCGCAAGCCTCCATCCGGCCTTCAATAAGTTCAACCCAGCAGGCGAGTTTCTTGCCTTGAGTTGAGAGTCGAGAGTTGAGAGCTCAGGCTGGGGCAGGGCAAGCTCTTCGGGGATGGCAAGCGGCATCTTTGGAATGCTAGGCTTGAGGCTGAACAGTGGCTGAACACATACAGCTGCGTCATAGCTTGGTCATTGCCTTGTGTCGACTTCAGAAATTAATCTTGTGCGCAAGCTGCTCTGCCTCCTCAGCTCCTCTCAAAACATCCTGTCAGAACACCCGTTGAGAGGACACCTTCTCAGCACCTCTCGCGGCCTCCTTTCAGTACCTCTCCTCTCGTTGCTGGAAGCCCTATCGCAGCATCAGATTGCAGGGATCGGTCTTCGGGACAAGGATAGGAAAGCATCTTCAGATGTTGCTCCAAAGAAGAGGCATGTCGTGATCATATCTCGAGATCCAGCCTTTGCACGTGGCGTTTTACCAAAGGGTGCGGCGGATTCTTTCGCTCTGCAAGTGAAACCATGCTTGTTGGCTGAGGCGGCTGTAGAAACTACGAACATACAAGATCTTGCAGCCAATGGTCTGTGATGTGGCACACTAAATGTTTGGCAGCCACGGCCTCAGTTACCACTCTCAGAAGCCCCCTCTGCGATTGTGGTGATCTCGCCGTCATCAACCTGGTCATGCAAAGCAAAGTCTACCGTAGCTCTGTGGATCGGATGCATGGTCAGCATGCCCGAGATGTCATGTAGTGAGGATCGAGCTTACACGAATCATGGATTCTAGTTTTGCGGCACATACCGACCGTCCCGACCCCCCCAGTACTCAACTAGACTCAACTAGTCAGAGTTGAACCCCATAAGAAATGAGAACCTTCAGAACTCGCGCTCAGAGCCAGATGCTTTGGCACCAGATTTCTCTGAGCAAAGGGCCCGTGCCGCCGCGGCTTCAGCTTCGGCTCGCGCACGCTCGGCCTCCTCGGCTGCCTGCACCACGATAAACAGGCAGATAGATAGATAGATAGATAGATAGATGGGCAAAGAGATAGATGGATGGACGGATGGATGATGGAAATATCGATAGGTTGACAGATGGATAGATGGTCAATCGGAAAATCGATCCATCAACGGACAGATGGCTGGCTGGACAGGCAGACAGTCAGACAGTCAGACAGATAGATACAGGTCGATAGGTAGATAAATCGATACGTAAGGTCACGCCAGAAGGGGCTGTCAGGAAGACCGCATCTGCCTCTGCAGCCTTGATCTGTTGGATCACTCGCTCGCGAATCTGCTCTCGAAAGCTCGCGTCCCCGCTCGCCTCGGGCACGTGACAGGCAAACTTCACAAGATGCGACGGCAAGTTTCGCCCAGTCGCAGATTGCTTGAGGCAGTCGGACAGCCAAACCTGATTCAAAGGGAACCCGTCAGACACCTCCCTGCTTTGTTGGTGCAACATGCGCCAAGGTGCCAGTGGATCAAACCGCGACTCCTCCGCAGCTTCCAGAGCCGGAGGGGGAGCCGGAGGTGGAGCCTGCAGATGCCAAGGGAGGAGATATGCTGATATCCTCGCTATCTCTCTCGGCTCGGCTCGGCTCCGAGGGTTGAGTCCGCCAGGCGGACCCGGGCCTTAGGCCCCCCTCTCCCCCACGCGGTGGTGGTAGAGAAGGCTTGTGGGGTCAAAGGTCGGGAAACAAAGACAAAGGTTTGTGTGAGCTGTGGAGTTTGCCTGGCAGGAACCCCCCCCTAACCCTGAACTTTAGCCCGCGTCCCGGCCTCATCGCCGCGCCCCCTAAGGCTAAGTCCTAAGTTCCTGCGACAGGCAAAATCCCCCACTATGGTCTGGCAAACGGTGGTCGCCTCCCAAAAAACCACAACACTCTAAGGGCCGAGCAACGACTATAATGTAGTAAGAACACAGTCGTGGGCTGACTCCCCCGTTGCAAAAGCTTCCATCTAGGTTTCTGTTGAAAAGCTGAGCGAAAAGGTCATCCCCCAAAGTGGTGCCGGCAAGTCTCTGACGCAATGCCAATTTGTGCAAGTGCAAGGGCGTGTGGCCCTGTTGGTAGTTAGTCGGAATGGCTCCAGCGGCCCGTCTTGAATTAAGCTCATCATTGTAAGCTCGCAGAAAGACTGTTGAAGAAACTTCCCCCGCTCATTGCTTGTAGGTCACGTCGTGGTATCACCCCGCATATGCGCTTGTACACGTCTCACAGCATGCCACATGGGTCCAGGTAGTAGTCGGACCTGGTTGGGGTCGCGTTGTGTGCCCCCCGGTCGTCTTTCCCCACCTCGTCCTCGGTCTCGTTGTCTTGGGCTGCGGCTTGGTAGCGATGGTCGCGCCCCAGCATCCGTGGAACTGTTCGAGCCCCCCACGGTGCTCGGCTTTTCGGTTGTCGTCGTCTTCTCCTCGTCGTCGCCCCAGTCCACTTCCTCTTCTTTGAAGCTCTCCGTGGCTTCCGCAGTCGGGTTCACGCGGGCTATATCTGTTGAGCTCCCCGCCTTCATCTCATGCTTGATCCGCTTCCCCTCGTGAGCTGTGTCTGTTGAGCTCCCCGCCTTTATCTCACGCTTGGTCCGCTTCTTCTCCACTGCGTGTTGGTTGGCCTTCTTGTCCTTCTTCAACTTTTTGGTCTTTTTGTGGTCCTTCTTGTCCCGGTCCTTCTTCTCCGTCTTGTCCCCCTTTTTCTCGGCTTTGCTGCCCTTCGCCCCCTCCGTGAGTGTTGTGGGTTGGTTCTTGTAGCATTGCTTTGCTTGGCTGAGCATCGCCCCCACCTTCCACGGGTGTTTGGCTATATACCAAAGGAGCTCCGCGACGATCTTTGGGTTCCCCTCCTGGACTATGTCGACGAGTTTGTCGGCTTGTCTTCCGGTCTCTCTTCTCGCATTGTGCCTTTGCACATATTGCTCCCACTCCTGAGTGTTGGCCTCGTCGAGGATCTCCCCCGTTATGCGGTCTTTGTATTTCCCCGTTTTCCAGTTCTTCTTGATGTTCTTCCCGATCCACCGGTCCAGCGGGTCTGGTTCGTACAGGAGAGCTCTCCCCTTTTCAGTCTCGAAGCGAACGTAGTCGGAGTAGGGCTTTGTCCTCCCCGCGACTTCGCAAGTCCCTCCCCCTTCGGGTTGGTAGAGGTCATGCTCATCAGCCACGTCCCTCTGCTTCCGTATGTTGCTGGGTGCCGCCGTGCTGGCGATCCCCCCCGTGGCAACGCGTTGCTTGTAGCATGAGGCGCCACTGTCGTGGCTTTTGTGGCAAAAAGGTCCTTCAAGGCATGCTCGACATGTCACCCCCATGGCCTTAAGTTTCTCCGCGACTGCACACTGCTCCTGCCAGGTCGTCTTGGTTCTGCCTGGCTTTGCCGATGGGTCTCTCTCTATTCGGCTTCTTCCACCTCTGGGGCTGTCTTTCCCCCCCGGCTTGGATCTTGAAGAGCTCGACATGGATCGTGAGGTGGTAGTAGGACAAGGTCTCCCCGTGGTCCACAGTGCTGAAGTATGCTCCGTCCCCCTACTGGCGGGCCACCCTCCCGGAGGAGGGGCCGCGGTCAGGTTCGGGAGGGTGCGCTGGCAAAGGGGCCTCTTAAGCAAGACGGCAGCGGGCGGAGACTCAAGCACCACTGGGTCAAGGCGAAGGTGGCTCCTCCGGGGTAACAGCCCAGAGTAACCCCCTGCCTCTCCCCCCCGGCACAAGAGGGCGAACAGACCCCCAAGTACAAGGTGTGGCACTTGAGCCAAAATGGCTACGCTATCTCTCTCTCTCTCTCTCTCTCTCGCTCTCTCTTGGGCATGGGGATGGGTCAGCGTCCCCGGACTTAAAAGCCCACCCACTACGTTGAGTGGGTATTGCGGGGAGTGCAGAACGAGTGTAATGTTTCTGCTTAGGCTACAGACATAAAGTATACGATAAGAAACCGCAATAACATGTACACTCTCCTCGAAGTATGCTTCCTGTAGGATGAAGTTCCCCCGAATATGGTAACAAGGACAAACGCATAATATCAAAACTCATGACAAATGGCAAGAACTTCATTGCCCTGCGTTTACGAGTCTGCCCTGACATTTACAAATCTTTCAGATGTCAAAGGCCAGCGGAATGGAAGTCTGTCTGTCTGTCTCTCTCTCTCTCTCTCTCTCTCTCTCTCCTTCCCCGGGGCATGAGGGGAGTGCGAGACCCCTCGGCCTAGTAGGCCCCCCCCGATGTTCGTGGGGCTGTTGGAGGAGTGAGAAAAGTGTGAATGTTTCCCCCTGGATTTGTTATGTTGACCGTAAATAAGTATTCGCGAGTATGTGTACATAGTATGTGCCAGGGTTCAACTGTTCACATTGTGACATCAGCACTGCTTGAGGGATGTGCTTTTGTGTGCCTTTTGTATGCCGTAGTGAGTACGATACAAGCCTTCACGAACATTCAGAGTATAAAGTGAAGTAAAGCATTGTCAGCACATTTCCCGCAGCATTCCGGTTACCGTGCTTTTCGAAGTCTGGTTTGATGGGAGATCGACAAAACACAAGATCCATGAGCATAGAGCAGTGCACTCTTTCTCTGTCGGTCGTTTACACCACTCAACCATCTGTCTATCCATCGATCTACATATGCAAATAAGACATGTGAACGAAAAGTGCACCTGCGGAACAGTAGAATCGAAGCTGTGCCGAGCCTTGTCAAGCTCGGAGGCGTTGCTGAAGCGACGAAGAATTTGGCTTCCCTCTCCTTGGTGTGACGACCGTACATTGCCCACTGTCAGCATTGAACTGGTTTCTTTCGTGTGCTTCTTGCGCTCATCAACCCAGCTTGGAGGTGGAATGAGGCGCAGGTGGAATGAGGCGTACTGAGGATAAGCCCCTGTGGGGTCGTGGAGGCCTTCTGATTGCTGATGCTGGCCAAATCCTCTCGCGAGGAGGCGTCGAAGTGATTTTTCTTGCAGCGCAAGTGTTCAAATACACACCCGTGCCAGATGCCGGAAATCGGCAAAAGCCTATGTGCGGCTGAAAGGCCCGCTGTCAGAGAAGGCTTCCTTGCGGCAGTGGGTGCAGCAAGATGGAGCTGGACAGGGAAGTAGCAGAGCTCAGCCGGGCCTGCTTCCCGATGAGCTCTGCTTCTTTTCAGGAGGGTCCTCGAGGGTGGAGGCACTGACCCTGCTTAAGAGCTGGCTTCAAGGCACTGCGGAACCTCCACTTGTATTTCGGACGGCTTTCGAACGACCTTCCGCTCGGCCTCTGTCTCCTGCGCAGCCGCTGAGGCTTCAGAGCTACGAGTTGCGCACTCACAACTCGAACTCTGCCGGATGAGCCAGGCAGCTAGGACCTAGGATGTAGGGCTCCGAGGGTGGGTGATTTGGTTCGGCTGCCCGCTGCCACGGACATCTTTGTCAGTCCTTCAGCTTTCAACACGGCGTTCCGCCCGCTTCACGCTGACCGACAAGTTGACAAGAACAGGGACACGGACAGAATCTACATCCTCCTGTTTCTCACAAAAAGCTTTACACAGAGTACCTGCGGTCAGTGGCAAGTCAGCCAAGTTGGTGCACTTTGCACGGCATCGATAGCGCAGCCAAACTGCGGTAAAGTTCTGACTCGCCGCTTCCTTGTGCGGTACGTGTAACAACTTCTAACTGGTGATGGCAATTTAGTCCGAACAAAGAGCGGGCCCGAGCAGTAGTTGGGCGGCCAGGGGCCAGCAAGACTGGACTGAGAGGCAATCTGCCTTTGGCTGCAGTGACAAGTCTGCGAGCTCACACTGCCGTTTCGAATGTAAGTACAGTTTCCCTGGAAGTGAAAGCCTTCGCAAACCAATCAGGTTACAGGTTAGCTTCTGGTGTGGTCTGCCGCAGGGCTACAGGCCGACAAGGCTCCGGCTTTGGCTGACTGAACTCCCGTGTTGAACCCTCGTTGCATTCCCATCTGGTCCCAAAACCGGTGCAGCATACCCGCACATGCATAGCGATGAAATACTTAGTACTTGACTCTTATAAGTATGCTCCTTGCGCAGCACGCGCTGCAGCTCGCCCGAGGAATGCACTTGATGCCTGAGAAACCGAGGCAACCAACTTCTCGTCTTGCACGCCACGGCCCCACCGTCATCGATTGCCAAGTGCAAAATAAAGAGAAGGAACGCACTGCGAACGTAAGTAAAAAGGCCCAGGTGCAAGAGGTCTTCTATGGCCGGTCCGAGGGCAGGAAGCCTCAACAATGGCGTTGCGTGACCAGCAGGCAACAAAGCAGGCGTCGCTCTGAGGCAAGGGGCACCGTCTGCTGCAAGTAACCTCTGACATCCTGCAAGCCAGGAGCACGCGAGAAGGCGTCGAACGTTGTACTTCCCTGCGAAAGCCTCGTATGGCGATATCGCAGCAGCAGCGTCACAAAGCCCACCAGCGATGGCCTTGCCCGCCATGCCTGGAAACGGCAGCAGCCAGACTCACGATGGTTTCCCTTGTTGGTTGGCAGTTCCTTGTGACGAAATGGGCTCAGACCTGCAAACATGTACGGAATCAGTGCATCACTTCATTGCCACCACTGCCGGTGCGGCTGCTGCTGCCTCCCCCTCCCCCTCATTCTCCCGCTCCAACTCCCCTTCTCCTCCTCCTACTCCTCCTCCTCCTACTGCTACTGCTACTGCTGCAAGTATTAGCAAGAATAATCGTAACACTGAATACAATAGACGTTGAATGGAATCCTTTCCATCTTGTGAAGCTTCCAAACGTGTCAAGTCCTGGACCGGGCCTTGAGCTTCTGACGCAGCCACGCCAGCGAAGTCACAATCCTCTGACATCGCACTTGAAGCTCGAAACATATTTACCATCGTCTAGACACAGCAGCACGTGGCGTAGCTCACATGACATAGTCGACTTTTACATGTGCACAGCATGGCTGCTTTTCCCCATGGCCTCAAAACAGACGTGAGCAGCTCTGTATCCACCGGCGAATTGGAAAACGAATGATCTGCCCACTGAGCAAACACGGCATGGTTCCCAAGCCTTCTCAGCTGTTGTGTGATCGCACCATTGCTTTGTGCACTGGTGTGCAGCAGACAGCCCTGAGCAATGCATGAAAGTCTCAACACTTTGGTCGAGCATGCCTGCCCTATGTGACACACTGTAGACATCAACCAGGGCAAGACACACGCATGGATAAGCCGCTAATACCGTAAGCATGATGAGTACAATGCCAACACTGCCGGATGAGATGTCTCCAGAACTATGCTCATCGAGCAGACAATTGCCCCAGCTTCAAGGAAGCTTGCCAATGGAGGGTCACGAAAACGTCGCTAACCCCACCGTCAGTCAAGACTTTGGAGATCTCACCTGGCATGAGACACCCAAACTCAGGCTGGCGGCAGCACAACCAGATTGAGTAGTCAAGCTGTCCCGAGCTGACGACTGCACTGGGCTCCCCAAAGCTTGAAGTACCCCCGAATTGGTAGCTCAACATGTGATTAGAAGCCCAAGCTTTGCGCCTGCTGACGCATGGGCATGTTGCCACAATGCTTACCTCAGCAACAATCGAACAACCACAAAAGGACAGGATCAAGGCCCACAATTAAGCCATGGGCCAGCCAGGAGAACCAATCTCCTGCATCATGTGTCGCAAGCAGAGGTTCCTCCGAAGCCTGCCAGGAAGAACGTGGACTTCAGCGCTGCAGCGAGCTTGGTGGTGCTTTGTTGTGCCAGTGCCAAGTATATGATGTGCAAGATCCGGGGCTTGCAGAGATTCCAGGGTTCCGCATGTTAGTGATGCTGATGCTCACAGCACCCGGGAGACATGTGACAGTTGGGACCTCTCGCGTGATATCATGACGCCGTTGTTGGTCCCAAGACTTGGTCAAGAGACGTTGGCCAGAAAAAGAACGGAATTCGGGATGTGGTGGAGTTGGGTTTGTGTAGAGCATTACACGGCTACCCTTCAGTTTGGTTGGATGACTTAGCAAAATTGCGGATTGCCCGGAGCAAAAGGATCAGGACAAGTCGTCGCAGCGTTGCCCCAGCACAACGTCAGGTCAGGCTTACCACACGCCCTCAAGGAAAGATGTTCAACTCCAGGTGCCGTTGCCTTCTCATCCTCGTCGTCCTCCTGGTCCGTCAACGGTCGGTCCGCCGTCAATACGAAGCCCCTGCCTTGCCAACGTGTGGGCAGAATTTGCCTCTAGGTACTCAACAGGCTAGAATCTAGAACCTCTTACACCAGGTGCAGCCCATGCCTGTGCACGTCGCTTTGGACGGAGGGCTGCTTCGAGGCACCTCAAGAATCCAATCTCTAATCGACGTCCCTCAGTGCCTTGAATTCCGCCTGCAAGATCGTACCGAATCAACGAATGTGTCTCAAGACATGCCCGGCTCCAAGCAGACAGCCTGCATAAATTTTTATCCTCCACCCCAGCCTCCTCGTCAGGCACATCCTCCTCGTCCGGCAGCAGCAAATCAGCAGCCACATGACAAACCTTGCAACGTTGTGGGTGCTCACACTCGGACAATCCAGGCGAGGCATGTGGTTCGAGGTCTGCCAAGGTGAGACGCACGCTCTGGTTTAGTAGAAAAACATCCGAAACAGGTCCCCAAAACCAACAAAAAACGAAATTCCAAGTAGTAAGGCCTCCTCGCTGGAGTCCGTATCCGATTCAGAGACTGCACCGACCTCTGCAGCTGCTTCTTAGGACCCACAACAGAGTTTGCAACAAGAAGCTGTGTAGGTAGCTGTCAAAGGTATGGTCCCTTTTTGATCTTTTTTGGGGCACCCTGAATATTAAGTGGCATGTTCCAGATTAAACATGTCGCACAGCGGGCCAACGAAACAGCAGCGGCGCCTCCACGGTGTTACCAGCGAACCGATGGCGTATCTCCTTTGGCACTTCCGTGGAGCACGGACATGCCTTGCAGCAGCGAAGAAAATGACGCAGGAAGCCATCACCATTTGCGGCAAGAATTGCGACCTCATAGCCGAAGTCGTTCCTCCAGCTCCTCCTCAGGCTCAAAGACAATTCCAGCTCGTGCTGTAACTACGGCTAGCGTCAACATGCAAGGTCAAAGACTGCTGACCTCATGCAACTGCACGCACTTCTAGATGCAACGAAGACTCTGCTTTGTTCTCGACTGGGTGTTCGCCTTCTCCTGCTGCCTTCCTGCGGAGAGGGAGAACGGCGTCAAAACTGACCTTGTGCTCAATCAACCCAGATTCAATTTCAACCCAGGGAGACATATTGACCCAGTGTGACGGAGATTCCAACCTGCGATAAGCGAAAGAAGCGGCTGGACATGCAGTTAGCAGTGGAAAAAGTCACACACCTGCATGCCCTGCTTGCAGAAGACCCCAGTTGCAATGTTACGTCGCTGCACGTGCCACTGAACGCCCCACCTGCCGCCCTTTCCTCGCGAGCGGAACGCTCAAGGAATTTCCGCGCTTCCTTACGCGTGAGCAGCGCCTGCTCCTCAGGTTCACATGATCACAAGTTGACCATAAGCTTCTTCTTTCGACGGCTGCAGCGTGCTCAGGAGGAAACCCATTGGGCGTGCTTTTCCTTCCTGTTCCTGGTTCCTGCAGGAACCACTGCAGGCGCATCATCGCCTTCCAAATGTACAGAAAGTTGTTGACAAAACAGTCTTGCTGCACGCATGCGTGCACCTTTGATTCTTGTTGATGTAGACTGGAGTCCTGCCTAGCATGGCGGCTTGATATAGCTGCAATGCCAAGGGCTTGTGTGACAACAACGTTACCGTTAAAGGAAGCACCCTGATTCACTGATTGACAGCGTAGCATGCTGGAACGAAGGTAGCTTTGCTCAATGCCGACACTTTGCATCCGTGCCTTCTCGGGCTCACAAACCGCCTGCTTAACGTCTTCGATGGCCAGAACTTTGCGAGGTGCCTTCCAACAACCGACCACTCCACTGAACCATTCCATCAGGAAACAAACGGCATCGTATCACACCCTCAGCTTGACGCCTAAGCAGAAAACAAGCACTACCAACGCTCTGTTGCCTGTGAGGTTGCTTGACAAGAACATTACGCCATCGAACAGGTAAACATCAAGCTGTGCAAACAACGGCCTGACGCGGCTCACAACAGCACGAAGGACGAGAAGTCAAACACAGGCACGTGCGAATCAGAAGGGCGCCTGCTTCTTGTTCTTCGGCTTGTTGATGGACCAGCCTTTTTTCTTGCGCATGGGGGCCTCACCCAGCATAACAAGCAATCAGCTTTGCAACTCCATGGACTTTCGCAGCCGAAATCACACAGCAAATGCAAATCTGTCCAACGTGGTGGACGCATCTTATCGCCTGTCGCTTCGCATCCAACTCCATAAGCCGTCGCTGCAAGGCCCTCGGCTATCTTCACAGTTGCTAGCATCGAACGTCGTCGCTACCCGGCTACCCTTTGTGCGTGAGTACTCTGTGTCGGGGATCGATGAAGGAGCATTCTGCACAGCATCCTGGCAAAGGCAACACAGGAAGCACCAGGCTCTATGACATCATGTCCTTGGAATCGACTTCGACCCGGACCCTTTTTGCTTCCGGTCTGCAGCCCGGACCCTGAATGCTCAATCCTGCTTGCTCACGTGTGCCACACAGTACTTTCCGCATGCCCGGCCTCATACTCCTGGGTCAGGCGGATGAAGAGCGAGTGCGCCGCGGGGGACGGATTTTTGTCCTGAAAGGTGCGTCGCGGAATCCCCGTTCTTGCATGCCAAGGACTGTGACCATGCTGCTGCTGCCAGCACACGGCCGCATGACATAAGCTGCAAGCGGCGGAGCTACAAGCATGTACTTTAAATGCGCCAAGTCTCCGGGTGAAGGCGTGAAGCCTGAAGTTGTTCAAACAGGATTCAGAACATACACGCGCCGCCAAACTCATCCACACTCAACGCATGTCGATGGAACCGCATGGCCGGCTGCATGCGGAAAATGCATCTGAGGCCACAGCCAGGTGTCGGTACCTGACTTGCAACATCGGCAGCTAGAGCCGCAGCCGGTTGAAAACGTGTGAGAGGATATGAGAAATTCGCTTCTCAGCTGCCTTGTCGTCAGGCTTTCCTTTGTATCCCCCGGCCTCGGTGTCAGACCCCTTCAACCTCTTCGGAACTTGAGGCATGTCGTGCAGGAGGCTCACTCTGCTCGAGCCCTCTGGGGTCGGCACTGCGGATGCAGCAGAGACGAGGTGGTGGCATCCATCGCGGCGGATGGCCACTCGTCTATACAGGTTGTTCAACGTGCGCGCTGTGCGAAACCGAAGCCTGCTAGTCAGCTATAGTCGAGAACACTACTACAGCGGGCTCCTGGTCAGGATGAAATGCTAAGACCCGCATGACGGCACATGTCTCTCACGTTCTTTGACAATTCTCCGGGCAGATGCTTCAGTCCGCTGGGCCACGCAGCAACTGAGCGTTTCTGCATGGCCAGGCAAAAGTTTATGTGCTTCTGAAGCGACAACCCCCGAAACCTCTAACCATTTCCATGGACCGGATTTTTCGGACATTGTTCGGGCCTTGGAAGCAGACGTCACCGTCGGTGCTGCCTGATACGCAAAAGCGACTGGGTGTGGTACTCGTGACATGGGCGAGCGCAAATCTTGTCTTCAGGCTGCATATTGCTCTTCAAGAGCCTACGCCTGTCGCGACTATATGCATGCTATGTCCTACAAGCAGCATTCATTTCGGAAGGCTCCTCGCTGAAGCTAAGGCGCCAGCTGCAGAGCACAGGAAGGCGGCCAGCTCTACTTCAAGCCAGCTAAAGGAGTCCAAGCCGAATCGCAGCGTTTCAATCAATGTGCCGTAACTCCCGGTCAGAACCGCCACCGCACAAACTCTTTGTGTCAAACGGCCTGCGCATCTCTCAACGACCATGTGCACTGCGGCATCGCAGATGACTTTCGGCTCTTCGAGACCATGGGGGCGTCGCAGGTCAGTCTGAGCGGTTCTACGAAACACCGACGGTGGGGGCTGGGGGCAAAGCAAAAGCCTCAGAGCGCAAGGCTGCAAACCAGGTCTAGGCTTTGCCATCGCCTGCAGCTCGCGGATTTCACCTGACGTCCGAGGCGACGAAACGTTTCAGCGTGGCCCACGGCCTCTGCGAAATGAGCGGCCAAGGCTACGCAAATGACGATGTCAGCTGCTCCAGCCAGCCTGCATACGAAAGCCACCACTGCTACGCTTGGAAACAGAAAGCTTCATCTTTGCGCGTGGCCCTCGAATGCACGGCACGAGGGTTTCAAGTCCAGGGTCTCGGGGGTTAGACGCTGACACAACTCGCTCGGCGCCCTCGAGGCACTGGGGCGGATCCTGTGCATCGGGGCTAAGATTCTCGAGACCAGTCTCAATGTGCGGACGCATCGTACTCCTGCACTCACGGCGTAGGCACACAAAACTCCTGTCGCCTCCATCCCTTCCTGTAGCTTCCGGCTCTCGTCTGCAACAACTTCCAGAGCAAACACGGAATCTCGCACCACTGACAAAGCAGTCATGATCCCCCATGCTTTACTGATACCCATCTGAACCAGGCATAAACGTCAGCAAACTCGACAGCAGAACACGAGAGCTCGGCAAAGGCACAGGATGGAAGCCTTGCAGCGATTCCATCATGCCTCCGCCTGGCAGAGTGGTTCTAACTCGGCCCTGAGTCCAACTGCGTTGGAGGACTGGGCTCGGAGCTGTCTGGCTCTGCATCACCGCCAACACCATCCGATGCTTCCTCCTGCCATTGACTTTTGGCGGGTTGTGTGCCTGCGCTCCATCCATCCAGCCATCTATCCATCCATTCCCTGTCCTTTCCTATCCTTCATTCCGTCATTCATCTTTCATCCACTCATTCATCCATTCATATACCTTTTTTTGCATATTGCAGATCCCTCACTCCAAACCCCACGGCCCTCGTTGGGCTACTGCCAGGCACGGTCCACCTCCGTGGATGATCTTCGCTCCAGATCTTGGAGTATTTGGGTCAACACCTTCACTCAGAGCTCCTTTTTCGGGGGTTTCAGGTGTGCTGTGGGCTTCGACTCTCGCAGACAGGGCTTCATTAAGACTGGCGGCACAGTAGACAGAAACTGCTGAGACCAGAGATGCATGGGGTGATCCAAAGTACCCTGGGCGTTGGGGCTGCTAGGGTGAAAGCTTCTGGAAATGCTTCGCCCAAGGCCCGGACAGCCGCGACGTACCCCCGGAACTCCAGCTCAGCCAAGCCTGCGATTCAGCAAACAACTGCGCAACCCGAGAAAAGCAGCTGCACAAATCATCACAGCACATCCTGTGATTGCAGGAAACGTACTGGCAGTGGTGTCCTTGCTCCAGTCTGCCAGAGGTTGCCGCCTCAGACGAACAGCGCACACAACCTCCGCGCAGAGGCCATATTAGTCGCTTCTGCTGGCGAGTGGCAACGTAGACGTGACCAATTCGATCCAGAGTGGCAGGGGAAGTGCACCCAAACCGGTCGATGAGCATCTGCCTGTTGCAGCTGTGACTGGCATGCAAGGCCATGGAAATGCAAACGTGGCTCCAGACGTAAGCTTGTGCAGCTGCTCGGCATCCAGAAGCTCTGCCTCTCCTGCACACTTCATCACACTCCCCCTGGACCGCAACGAGTGTTGCGAGAAGACAAGCTGCTCTTGTTCAGGCGGTCCTGGCGAACAGCTGTCTTTGAACATCCTGACGGAGATCAGGGAATGCTACATCCGAAGCACAGCAATCCACAGCTCCCGGACGTGATGTCTAAGTCTCATTGGTGCCTGCTACACTCCGTCGAGAGTGCACCTACATCGCTGAGAATGTGCGAAACTGCTTCCTCAGCTTTCAGGTATCAGATTTTTGCAACGGCAGGAATGTGCTCATGCTGGTGTAACAAAGCTCTCGAAACACAGGTCTTGATGTCAGACAAGAGGCAGCAAGCCGGAGGTCAGGCGTCACCTGCCGACTGATGCGTGAGTCTGTATGATTCGAAGGGGGAGCAGTCAATCACAGAACGTCCAAAGTTGAACTGCGTCGCTCCGAGGAGCCTCTTGCGGGGGGTCGACATCTGTCGTGCCCAGCCCAGCTTGATCATCAGGGTGGATCTCTGCCTCGGCCTTGACTGTCCCGAAAACAGGCGGGTTTGATGGAGGTTTCACTCAGGGCACCTGTGGTGCAAGAGCTGCACCGTCGCCGCAGTCGACTGGAATAGCTTCGGAATGCAGCGGGTCAGGCTCGAAATTCGCTTCCTTGCATGACGGCCGGAAAGATGCCATCAGCAGAAAGCCAGCAGTTTTTCCCAGGAAGAGTCTTCAGCAGCCCAAGGGGCCTCCCGGTTCAAAGTGGAGGGGGAACTCCCAGATGCTTCTGGCGAATGCTCGGGTCCACATGCCGAAGTGGGACCTGACAAGATGAAGGCCACTCGCTCCACCTCCCCGGCCCAGTCTCAAGCGGCTCACAGGACTCCTACCTGCATCCTCTGGGGAAGGCGAGCTCCCTGCAGAGCCAACAGCACAGCAGCACAGCCCACGTACAGCGGTACTCCTGGCAGGGCCTGCAGCACCATTTCCATCACGTCCCGTCACCGGCTGCGTCACCTCCGCGTTCGTCTCGTCAGATGCTCCTTGAAGTGCCTCGCTCGCTTGCACCCCAGTATCCGGACCTGACAGAAGATGGGAAGCTGTTGGAGACCGACAAAGTCGCATGCCGAGTCTACACCGGCCTCTGGCTGCTTGGAATCTGCCTGTTGGGCGGAGCAGCTTAGGCAGCTGTGCCACCGTAAGGTTTGGCGGCAGTGGGAGTGGTGGCGGCGGCACTTTGGCTGCTGCAGCTGCGACGTCGGCAGCTGCTCCACGTCTCTCCTTCCCTGCCATGGCATCTTAAGAACGGGCTGAGGCCCCTCCTGTCAACGAAAGCGCATGCTTCATCCTAGGATCGTTGGCATACGACTTTACCACGAAGGTGCTCTCCCAACTTCTGACTTCTGACTGCATGGACTGCATTGACTGCATGTCACGCTGCTTCCGCTATGCTTAACTCCCGGCTTGGCCCTCAGTGCCTGATGAGCCGCACGCTGCGCACCGAGCTGAAGGGAGCTTAATTTTGTTAATACAGTGGTGGAATCACTGGTTGCTTACGACTGCTCCCGCAATCTCCACAGAGCTAGATGGTTCTTTTTCCGCTGGGGGAATGTCGCCATCCTTCAGCGGCAAGGGGGATTATTGTCAGGACCGACTCAGGTTGAACGCTGAGTTTGCGTACTTTCCGGGCCAGGAACTTGCCTTGCAGCTAGCGGCTTCTCCAAGAATGGCCCATCTCTGCTCCAACTTGCACATACCCCCTGAATTGCGCTGAGTGAGCTTTGTACATACTGATGCCGGGGTCAATGCTCAGGGGCGTTGCTATCGCCAATGCTCCTGCAAACGACAAAGACGGCGAACAACGCCATCATTTACAGTGGCCGGATGCGCAGTTTGGCCAGATGGCTTGGTGCCAGGTGTACGGGAAGGCGCCCTTGAATGGCTTGGATCCACAGATCTCAGAACGTCTTCAGCAGCACACAAGCTTTCTTGTTTCTGAAGCGGAAACCTTGAGTAGCCTAGCCCTGGACTGCGGCACTGCGGCCTTGTTTTACGCGTCTTCGGTTTTGAAAGTGCAGGTGCAAAGCCGGCAGTGCAAAGGCCAGGCCATGAGGCAAGACAAATAGCCGGTGACGCGGAACGCGCACTTTCAGCGGGGAGGAGGAGGAGGAGGAGCAGGACGAGCAGGAGGAGGAGGAGGAGGAGAAACGGGAGGAGGAGGAGGAGGAGGAGGAGGAGGAGGTGGACGGGTAGTGGTGGTGTCGGCGGGTGGTGGGTGTAGCGGTAGCGGTGGTGGTGGTGGTCGTACATGTGCAGGAGCGCTGTTTCAGCAGTAGGTAGCAGTAGCGAGTGGCAGCAGTAGCAGTAGTCGCAGCAGCAGCAGAAGTAGTAGCAGTAGTAGTCGTAGTAGCAGTAGTGGCAGTAGTGGCAGTAGCAGCAGTTCTAGCAGTAGCAGTAGTAGCAGCAGCAGCAGTGCTGCTGACGTTTCGTTCGTTCCGTTTCGGCCGGCGTTGCGGCTCGTGTCGGTTCGTTTCCACGCGGCCGATGCTGCGTTTCGATTCGTTTCGGTATTGCTTGCGTCTCCTTGCGATTCGTTTCCTTGCGTTTCGATTCCCGGTTGGCGTTTCGCTTCGCGGCTCCCCTGTTCAAAATTTGATTGCAGTAAGAGTCATTAAGAGCCAGCTGAATTGTAAGCTGCCCGGGTTTTGTGTGCACTTGGCACAGCCTCAGCAGTCCTCAATGACAAATGTAAGCTACGGCTGAGGGCATCACACATCCTCCGTTTTGGAGGGTGCGTGCTCTAGAATTGAAACAACGGTGCAATCACACATCCTCCGTTATGGAGGGTGTGTACTCTGATCTTGAAACAGTGGTGCAAGTACGCCGTCAAAAAAATCATTGTGCGAAAAGGTCAAATGCTGCACGGTGCTCACGTGGCATCACCAGTCCCCAGCAGGCAACCCAAGATCAGCACTGCAAGTCGTCCCAAGATGCGACCTGCTGCGCTGCTACCGCTCTGCAACTCATCGGTGGTGCTTGAGGTGCTCGCAAGATCCTTGCTTGTGGTCTCAGTCTCACTGGCCTCCAGCTCAGCTGGCTTGCCCTCCAGCTTCTCCACCACGAAAACTTGGAAGTCGGCCGCATTGGCAGCCTTGGCTTCGGTCATCTTCGCAGCCACAGCGGCCTCCACCTCCATGGACAACATCAGCAGACCCCCCAATAGTTTCCTACATAGCCCCTAGCATGCAGTACGGGCATGGTATGCCACAGCCATCTATAGGACCTATAGGATATGTGATGCTATGATATACTGATATACAACGGCCGCCTCAGCAGCGGTCATGGTCTCCAAGAGTGCTGTGACGCGGCTCTGCGCTGCAGCTCCTGTCGAGGATGGCAGGTCAACCACGTAGCCAACAAAGAGGTCTCCAGCCATGGCCTTCAGCGAGGGTACTAGATTATACATCGCTATTCTACAGTATTTGCTATGATGTGTACTATTAGAAGACTACAGCATGTGATAGTTTACTAGAGTCTACAGTAAGCTTCTACAGCAGCCATGGCCTCAGAGAAGGTGCAGGTCACTGACGCGACAGGGGCCCCACACTCTGCCTCGATACCGTCACACACAGCTTTCTTGGCAACGTCATCGGCAAGGAACGCCAGCACGTTTGGAACAGACACCTGCAGGTGGCCTGACAACGTTATGCTGCAGGCCTCACCTGTGGCTATCTCTAGCAAGGGCGGGAAAGCCTTGTCGTCGCGGCGGGATTCGAACTTCAGTGCCAGGTACTCTAGGGCCTCATCCTCCAACCAAAGTGTTAATGTGCTCTCACTTGCCGCCTTCGTCTCCAGCACCAAATCGGTGACATCAACGCTGTAGTAGCCGACCGCGTCCCCGTCACCCGTGTAGTGATCCTCCGAAAGACTGGCAACATTGAAGCGACTAGCAACTTTCGTCCCACGAGCTGGCCGAGTGTTCCAATTCACAGATGCCTCATCCCAATCATTGCCAGCAGAAAAGATGGTCACCATTCCGGGCACATTGCGAGCGACCACGCAGTACAGCTTCAAGACAGCCATCTGAATCGGTGAAGTGGTAGATGGAAGGGTGAACCTCAGCAATGCAACAATCATCTTGTTGCCCGGCTTGCCATACACCTCGATGTTGCCCCAGTTGCCAGAGGAGGATGGACTGCCTTCTTGCAGTGAGGTTTCTGCACTGGGCTTCACCCGGGTGGTGTTCATAATTCCACAAAGCGTTGAAGGGTCCGAAGTCGCTGTCGTAACTGTCGTGGTGGTCACACTAGTCGTGGATATCGTGGTGGAGGTCCCCACCTCAGGCTCAGGCATAAATTCTGGTTCCGGAGCAGATTCGACTGAGCAATCTGGGGCTGAGCGAGCAATTCCTGTGCTTGCCGGCGAAGCCATGCTGGACGTCACGACAATTAGCTCTGGCGGGTTGGCATTCCCCTCTCGACGGCTCTCGAAAGTCACCTTGTTCCAGTCAAGCTCATCGTCTTCCAGCCAAAAAGTGATCAAATTTTCAGCGGATGTCCATTGCTTTGCAACATAATGGGTGACATCCCAGCTGAACCACCTGCCTTTGCTGCCAATGACCTCTGTGGAAAGCTTGCTGCCCCGGGCAGGAGCAGTCGACCAAGTGACAGTGGTCTCCTGCCAGTTTGCATTCTCTGTTCCGTTGGTGCCATAAACTGCAAATCGACCAGGAAGGTTCCTCTCACCAGTGGCATACAGCTTCAAGGCTGCACTGCGCAGCTCATGCTGCAGTGCCTTTGGAGCAGCCATGTCAAACTGATGAAGTGCCACGTTGCGGCCACCAGGCTTGCCGTAGACCTCATTGTCTGCCCAGTTCGAGTTGGCAGCAGGGCTACTTTCCCGAATCGTGGCATCCTGCGTCGCCGCCAGCATGGATGTGGTCAGCGTGGCACCAACGGTGATGCCCACCACAGCACTAGCTGATGTGCCCGCGTCATCAGTGGCAATCACCGTCAGTAAGATTGGGCCATTCGCTTGCGGGGTCCAGTTGATCTTGTATGTTTGAGATCCATCGCTAGGAGCTGCTATGCCAAGACTTGTGCCTCCAAGAAAAACTCCACCTTGCTGACGGACCCGTCTGCATCCGTGGTATTAGCCACCAACTCGATGCTTCCTGGCTCAATGTTGTCACCAGAGACTGGAGACACAAAAGCCAGCACAGGTGGCCGATTCCCAACATGGATCATGACTGCATCCGATATCACTCGATTCCCATCCACATCCGTTGCCACCGCGGTCAAGGAGTAGGTGCCATTCTCGGCAAGTAAGCTGGTGGTCACGCTGAAGTTACCTTTGTTGCCCATGTCTTGCCCAAGTGAGCAATTCCCAGCAAAGAATTCCACACTGTGCATCGCTCCTGGCGTAGCGTACTTCACACCCTCAAGGTCAACCGCGCTTGCCCGCAAAGTTAAAGCCCCCACCGGTCCACTGGCCGACGAAGGAATGACGGCCCCGTTCACTGGAACCTCCAGTCTCACCGTCTCACCGTAGGTTGATCTTGCCCCTGTTGTACCCAGCTGTCCAGGCTTGTAAATCCCATCTTGTCGAGGCATTCAGTAAAGCTTGGCCCATGGCAGAACTCAACCGCATCATAGTAGACAATGCGCTCGTCCCGGATCTCTGTGTAATTACTGGCCAAACTTGGTGTAGCCTCTCTCCGTGGTCTTCAGCAAGTTCTTGCCGTAGTGCTCGAATACCAAGTTTCCGTTCAACCAAACCCTGACCACGCCATCACTATTGATCGATTTCTTGTAGAAAAATTTAACGTCATTCCATGCATCACGCCTGGCATAACCGATCTGCCGGCCATTGCCTCCTCCATCCCCAACTGGCCACAGGTCATAGCCACAGAAATAGAGCTTGTAGTCACCCATGTTGCTCAGCCGCAACGCTCCGTGTGGAAAGCCTGGTGACATTTTCCATTGCATGAGTAAGCCGCTGTATTTCGTCACCCTGTCCCACGTGGTGCCATCTGGCCAGAAAGACATTGAGAAGAGATGATAATCCCCAGGCAAAAAGACGTACTCGTCCTGTACTGCGCTGAGCTCAGCACGGAAGGCATAGTCGCCGTTGGTCCCATAGTTCCTCCCATCAGCATAGATCTTCAAGACATGCTCGCCTTCACGTGCCCAGGAGACTTTCTCAACTGTCAAACTGTGGATGCTGCGGCCACCGTTTACATTTGTCTCATTTACTGATTTGAGTTCGATGATGGATTTGGCTGGCAATAGTCCTTGTAGGGATCTTTCCCAGGCACCCAACCATCACCGTTAATAGAAAAGGATGGCTTGAGTGGAACCACCAAGCCGGAGTCCACAAAGCCGGTTTCCCAGCCCATCTTCACATGCACGACCCTTGCTGCCGCACCCGCAGAGCCCAGAAGGACCGACACAGCAAGCCACACCATGGCTACGTGTCTGAGGGTCTAAAGTCTAGCGACAAACATGAAGAGCACTCGGAATGTCAGGGCTGCTGTCCATTGTGATGGTGAGGTCTTTACTCGGACCGCATGCCTGATGGTAGCTACGAGCCTATGCCTCGGATAACAGCAACAGTTGCAATGACACCTGATTTCGCATTGACTGCTTTGCTTCATGGCAACAAGCGCCCTTTCAGCCTTCACTTGGACAATGTCGCGGCATCTCTTCGCGTGGCGCTTGACGACATCCACACTGGGGTATGTGCCTTTTCGCTGCGCGCTGCTTCCGAGGGCATCGCATTGCCTCAAGCAATGTGACAGCCTCAAACCGGCTCCGATTCCGGAATGAAATGCAATCCGGCACGGCTGCAAACTGCTACCTGAAAAAAGGCTGTACAACTGATCAGAACACTGTGCCGGTTAGGGGCAACAGAGCCCCAGCAGCAACGAAGAGTCCGTGAAGGGCTGTGCCTGATTTAGAGAGCTTAGCTCAGAGATCCTCGGGATCCTCGGGATCTTCCAGATCAGGCGGCTCCGTGTGGCTCCGGCTGGGATTTCGGCTTTGGCTGGCCGAGCGCGTGGAGTGGATGGTGCCCACTCTGTTCTGGCGGAGCATCTTTCCCTGGTAGCCTTGCAAGTAGGAAAGCAACGTGAGAGAGAGAGCCCCTCGCCTATCATCACCTGTGCCCACCTTCCCGCATCACGCAGCACATCTTCGAAACTCAACTTGCATACATCTGAAGTCAGCCCAGGGTGCTCAAGTTGTCGCCCCACCAATCGATGAACTCGATTTGGCTCTCATCCGGTGCCGCCACCAGTGCACGCATGTCCTGCACCGGTAGCATGGTGAATCCGGCGCCCATGCCGTGGTGGCAAAAGCATTATCTTCAGCAAACAGGAACCCTTGAACAGCAAACATGCATACGTGATCTGTGGTCAGGCAGCTCACTGCCTGGCATAGCTGTTCAGGACTCTTTGCCATTCTCAGCCCGCCTCCGGCGTCTTGTGGCCATGCCCGTGCCCCGGCACCAGTCTTGACAAGACCTCCTCGGTCTGCATGGTCCGCGGCTGGGATATTGCCAGGTAGTCGATGACAGTATACGGCTCCGCGCGTGCCCGGAGGATTTTGTTCTCCAGGGAGTCCATGGCTTTGTCCAGCCGGAGAGCTTCCTCCCGGACACCTTCGTCGCACAGAGCTTCGCGGGCTTCCTGCAATGCCGCCAGTCGTTCCAGCATCTCCTGAACAGGCACACGGATCGCATGACCCTGGCAGCACATGGCTTCTTCTGACAATTCCTGTGCCTGCGGGGCAATCTTGGTGTTAAAGACAATCCACGCTTCCCGTGTTGCCCAAGGCAACCGTCGTGGATAAGACTCTTCGACGCATATCCTCAGCCCGCGGCAGGCCATGCCGTGAAAACTTGGAGGGTGCCTAATCCTGATCCGAAAACTGGTTTCTGCTGGTACTGCAGCCGAGATGCTCGTATCTATGCTCTTTGACATTCTTTTTCAAGGTGACATGCTCACAGTTGCCAAGATTCCATACCGAAGCGAAAGTCTCCACTGACCACTTGAAGAGGCACATGAGCATCAGCCGGATCGTCAGGCCATGGGTAACCATTACGCACAGCTCATACTTGACGTTGGGCTCTGTTAGTAAGCCCTTTCCATTGTCCTCGAACAGCTTGTCCCAAAACTGTGTGACCCTGTCGAAAACGTCAGCCGAGCTTTCGGCGTTGGGGCGCCTGTGCAATGGATACAGTAGGACAAGGCTGCAGATTCCCGCGTTCAGAGATGGACAACCCGCTGGAGCCCCAGGAAGGCCTGTAGTAGAATCTGCCCACTCTCTGCTCCTCAGCCCGGACCTGACACACCCAAAAAAAAGGAGCTGCATACGATGAAGGAATCATCTCCGTTTGTTGAGACCAGCCTTGGAAGTCAAGCCCGGGTCCTGAAAGTTTCCGAACTCCTGCTCCCGAATCTGAGGGTCCACGTGGACGCACTCCACGTTGTCCTGGAAGCACATCGGGCAGTCGCTTTTTTCGTGATTGTGGATCCCAGACGGAGACGGCCTGGCTAAAACCGCCGGCATACAAGGCAAGGAGTGTCTGCGTCGTCCTGGGAACGAACTGGGCATTTCTGGAATCAAGCTGCCACAACGACGAGAGCAGAGGAGCCCCGACCTTTCGAAGGGCGACGTGCATACAATAATCTTCCCAGTTGTCGGGGCGAGCGCCTTAAGGCGCTTTCCGGCCTCTTTTGCCTGACGTTTGAAAGCAGATCTGAGGTCAGGCCGATCTGTTTTGCAGTCCCACCTGGCGAATTCCTCGCTTGGTCAGCTCAAGTCTGGAGTCCCCCTTCGATGTGTAGAGCATCGGATCCACATTTCCCTCACTCTGACCATGTCGCAGAAGCACAATCCTGTCACGGGGGAGGGGGAGGCGTAAGCGCTAAAGAAAGTATGCTCGACATGCTTTGCTCTGCCGCGATCCCGCCTCTCCGGCAGCTGCTCCCACAACTAGGTGTCATAGGAAGGGCTCGTCTCTCTCAAAAGCGGCAATCCAAGAGACACTACTCACTACAGTATCGTCCCTCTCTGGAAGGCCGGGATATTCAGTCAGCAGGCTCTACCCTGGGGGTGGATCTGAAGCCTGTGTAGAAGGCCCCCCGAATGAGGTCGCCAAGTTAAGATAGGGCACCAGGTCTCGGGATCTGGATTGTATGCCAAGCACGGCCTGACACATCTGTCAGGCAAGACAACCTGGTCTAATCCTCAGACACTGAGAAGGGCTCTAAGCTCTACCGCTCTACCTCTGATGTCGCAGGAAGAACTCCAGGCGACTTCGCCTGGTCGAGGTCTCCGCTGTCCAGCTTGCTGAGCAACTCGAGGAGGCGCTCAGTCTTTTCTGGGTCCGTCATGGCAAGCACGGTGTATCACGGTGTATCGGGGGCGGGGCGCTGGGAGCTCCATCATCCCTCTAGGCGAAACTGGCATCATGTCGTGGAAAGTGCCTGTGGAAAGAAGTCTGTGCCAAGAGAATCGGACATCAAGGAGGTCTTGGTTAAGAGAGCCAGCTCTGCGTACACTGAGAAGGTAAGCATGCTCAGCCCTGGCAGTCAGTGACCCGTGTGAAGCATGTGCCCAAGAAAACACAAAACCAGGGCCTCCCTTCTGTTTTTCGTGACACCGGCAGGGTGGCTCGCGAGAACTGGAAGGTTTGCGAACCCAACGCCCATGGTTGCATTTGGGCCGTTGGGTCGTTAGGAGCGTTGCCCGAAAATCGATGGCTTAAGGCTGAAGGTTTTAACCTCCAGCCGCAGCTTCTCATGGTCTCCTGGCCTTGCTCGGCAACTTTGGCTGTCTGCGTCGGCAACGGGAAAGTGGCACAAGGTCTTGCTGGCCAAGGTCTATCCCATGGAATACACTTTTGGCTTCCTTAGATCATTATCAGTAGCATGCCACCACAGAATACAAGGTGACAAACACAAATCATTCTGCGAGGCTCTGGACCGAATCGATCTGAAGCTTTGTCATTCGATCATGCCACTCCTGCCAACTGCTTTCCAGATGTTCGGGAATTGTCTTCGGAAGGAACTGTCAGGCTTGGGCCGGCATGCGTCCGAGTCAGGTGAACCCCCCCCCCCTCCCCCCGCCCTCCAATCCCTCCTCGAGGCCGCTGCCCTGCAGGAAGCGCGCGGCGGTGCTACCTCGCATCTCGGACTCCCCGAAGCCACAAAGAGCCCCCAGGTCAGATCTGAGTTTTAGTGGCACCATGCAGATAAGCAGCACTCCGCAAAGGCAACATACGTTCCTCGGCACGAGAACCCAAGGGGTCCAAGTATCATCATGGTATATACTTAGACCCCCAAAATGCCCTGTAAGTACATACCAGAATGATACTTGGGCCCTTTGGGGAAAGGAGAAGAGGAGTTCAGCAGGCTTTGTGTCCAGCAAAGCTGATTCCCGGAGGACTCGCCTCGATGACAAGTGTCCGTACAAGCTGAGGTCGATGGGGCCTGGCTCTTCCCCATGGAAAAATGGTCGATCCTTCAGCGCCGCACGGAAGCTGGCGCCGAACTTCGAGCCTGAGGAGCAATGGAGCAACGGAACAGAACCACTAACGAAGGCCGTGTCCAACAGCAGAGCAGTTTGCAGTTTGCCGCAAGCTACTTGGCAGCTCCATGTTGGAGTAGCGAGATCTGAACAACGCTTCGACGGCAAACTTCAGCAATGGAGACAATATGCCCAGCAATCCTGCAGCCGCATTCTCTGAAATTTTTTAACGGCCGACAACAAGCTCGCTCCTCTCTGCCATCCCCCAATGTATCCAGTTGCTCGCGTCCACAAGAGCCTTAATGAAGCAACTTCAAATTGCAAAAGCACTGCTCCGTCAGAAAGTTGCATTCAAGTCTCGCAAGGTCCCGGTCGTTGCCGATCAGCTCTACTTCAAACGCAGGCTGGAACTCCTTGATTGCTGCAGTTTGGTGCTACATACTGCATTGAAGCACAGCGGAAATTCATGAAAGGGCTGACTATGTGCGGCAGGCATCGTAGGTGATGCGCTGCTCCCACATGACCTCCTCATCGGTCATTTCTTTGCCCGTTAGCCACGGCACTATCCTCTTCATGATGATGTGGGAGTCATTGATCTGACCTTGCCACACTTTCATATGTAACATCATATAGAATCATAGAATATGCGATAATAGAATAGAATATAACAACATAACATTATGCTATATTGTTGTATATAATAACACGTTCGTAGCGAAGTGTCAGCAATAGTTTCCTGAGCCGGGGGCGGTCGTCCGAGGCTGGGTTCATCACCAGCACTGGGATCTTCTTGTAGTCCTGAGGCCATCCGATTAAAAGCGAAAACGACAAAGTTACATGCAAGGAGTAGTAGTAGTAGTAGTAGTAGTAGTAGTAGTAGTAGTAGTAGTAGTAGTAGTAGTAGCAGTAGTAGTAGTAGTACTACTACTAGTAGTAGTCGTAGTAGCAGTAGTAGTCGTAGTAGTAGTAGTAGTAGTAGTAGTAGTAGTAGTAGTAGTAGTAGTAGTGGTCGGAGTAGTCGTAGTAGTAGCAGTAGTAGTAGTAGTAGTAGTGGTGGTAGCAGCAGTAGCAGTAGTAGTAGTGGTAGTAGTTTTGTCACCCACATGGCACGCCACTGACAGCTCCGCGGGGACTTAAATGGCAACTAGTCACGATGAATCCCTAGATGCGAGTACAACAGCCCCAACAAAAAAGGTAAAGCCACAAAATGACTCCAGGGACTCATCGATCTTCAACTTCACCTTTGGCACAGGCCCCCTTTGTTTATGTCATAACACAACAAAAACCGTCACGAAAACAGAAGTAGTAGTAGTAGTAGTAGGAGGAGTAGTAGTAGTGATGGTGGTGGTGGTGGTGGTGGTGGTGGTGGTGGTGGTGGTGGTGGTGGTGGTGGTGGTGGTGGTGGTGGTGGTGGTGGTGGTGCCAGCACATCCAGCAGCCAAGCTGCCGAGGTGGGATGTTTCCCGTTGATGGTGCGGAAAGGCAATCTATAGTGCTTGAACATGGTCCTGAAGGGATTGAGGCGAAGAAGTCAACACAGGTAGACCCTGCTCTTTCACTGTAGATGTTGCACGCCAGCCTGAGCTTCACACACGGAGGAGAAAACTCGGACTGGAACCTCGGCTGACACAAAACCTAACTGGCCACAAGCTTCACCATGTCAAGCAAGACTGGGACTTTGAGACAACATCGGTGCTTGTTGTGCAAATGCAGGCATCTCGTCTGGGTACGACCACTATGCAATTTCCGCACGAAACCCCAGACCCCGGCAGAAGCCTTCTCGGCAGAGTCATCTCCAGTAGCACGAAGCTAGCTTCGGCTGTGGAGTGTGGTCATGATGCCCGGTTGGATGCCGAGCCACGAAGGCAATGCAAGAGGGTCTGCGTTCTCAACATGCCCGGTTTTTTGAAAGGTGCTCGAAAGCATTTTCAGGAGTCGTTTCGTTGCTTCGGAAGAGCACATTCATACTCCACCAACAAATGCGTATATGCGGATGGGTGGACGGGTGGACGGATGGATGGATGGACGGACGGACGGATGGATCCATGGATGGGTGGACGGATGGATCAATGAACGGATGGACAGGTCGACAGACGAGGAGGTGAAGATAATTGATTACATGCATTGACCATCATTGACCGTCTGTGGACGATATCATTTTTTGTCACCCGTGCTGGAACAAGTCAGACGATGTTCCGGGGAAACTTTACAGCTAGTGGTTGGACGAGATCATGCATTCCTCTGCCGTATGTCACGGAGGAGTGAAGCACCTCGAGAAACCGAAATTAACCAAAAAAACGAGGTGGCGTCGGCAACAAACGAACCGGCAGCAAAACACATACACATGTATAGACAAACAGAAAGTTGCGTTTGCGCATAATTCTGTGTCCGTCTATCTGCACGTGTAGCTGTATTTACCCGGATATCCATTCGTTATACTTTTGTTCATGTATTCGTGTCTGTTTGCTAACTACATATTCAACTGCTTGTTTGTGCAATGGTTTGCACTCACACTGGCTGTATCAATCTGGATCTATGACTAGTCTTTCCACAGCCCATGATGTGTTAATATGCGTGTTTACAGATGAGATAATCGCGAGTATAGTTAGACAACTAAACCTTCGCTTATCGATTGACCTGCTGCGTTTTTGAAACTCGCGAGCGTTCAAGAGAGCGCAGCGGCGCTGAAGCTTGAAGATCGCGCATACTGGCAGAACGCAGCTTTCATCTTTCAAACTCAGCAAAGGAACAGCTCGGGTTAAGCAACCCACTTCTGGGGCTAAAGGGGTAGCCCGTAACCATGCCCACAAGTCCCGCCAAAGAGAACACCGGTCCCGCGATGGCAGCCCCAGCCGAATCCCGACCCAGGTGCAGGACGACGTCCTTCAGGTCCTCCAGCTTAATATCGATCGGTGCAACATCCTTGGGCATTTATGTGACGCACGTCTTTTCTTTGGCGGGTACGAAACAAGCAAACACGTGACTGGCCTCTCCCTCTTCGTTCGTTCCATCCGGAAGTACGGCACGCACGGTCCGCCTTGCGCTTAACTCAGGGAAAAGCGAAACACTCAGTGCATCAGCCAGCGAGCCGCAGCCAACATCAAGAAATCGACAACATCCGAAGGCCTAGACTTGTGGCTGGCAAAGAACGCAGCGCCAGCAAGCCTGAGCTGTTGATGTATCGCTGACCATGTCCCGTTCTGATTCCCAAGCCAAACCCATGTGTGGCCGCGCAACCCTGAAGTTACGGCTATCCTCTAGAAACCAGAAACTGCTACAGTGCTACATCTGCTACAGTGTTACAGTGATGCCGGCGAACAGGCTCGCAGCTGCTCGCAAGGACTGTGAAGCCGAGGGCGGTCTCATTGATTCCGGTAAGGAAGCCGAAGCAGCCGGCGGCGCTGCTCGGGTGGCATGCCCTGTCGTCACAGAATACTTTGATGCATCTTGCCACGTTGTCTTCAAATGCGTGTTTTTGCTTAAGCAGCCACAGGGCAGGCTTGTGCAAGGCCTCGCACTTGCCTCAAGCTGTGACAAAAGGCGGGGTCCCACCGTCTTTACCGGCACAAGTCCCCCCGAAGATCCCCGGAGTGTGCAGCTGATAACACATGGTGCATGCAAGTTCTAGACCCTGGCAACATGCACACGTCAGGCCTGGCACTCTGACTCTCTCTTTCTTTCGGTTTTGCATGAGGGTTGTACTTCTGAAGTGCCGCCTTCCTACTCCGTTGGCTCTACTGGCCACAGCCCTCAGTATAGTATATGAACCGTTTATTAATTAGTATAGAATCGTATATTTTTTTGGCTCCCACATTAATAGTATAGTAATAGCATCTTTAATTGAATTGCAGCAAAACACGCGCAG